TCGCCGGTGCGCAGAGCACGAAACATCCTTTGTAAGAGCATGTATTGAGAATCCCTCTTCTATTTGCTCAGTACCATCCGTTCTGATTGTGCTCGGCATGTATTGGTTGGCTTGATTTCCTGCTGCATAGGGATGTGAGTATCATGTGGTCGCTGCGGCACAGAGCACGAAACATCGTAGGTAAGAGAGTTGAGGTTATTTTGAAAACCTTAATTCTTTGTACGATATCGCTTGACTCTGGCTCCCATCCTTGTAATAAGGTCCGTGTTTCTACTTTATTTGGATCAACCCCATCCTCATGGACTTCTCCGGATTCATTCCAATTTCCGGCCCAATCTTTTGCAATACTGCATGCTGCATCATATCCCCCGAAATTTTTAAACCATGTCTGTTGGTTCTGCCAATAGTCCCTTCAGCGTCGATGATGACGCCGTGTCTGTTGTCAGTACTGGTACTTTCGTTTATGAAGACCCGTGGGAGGCCGCAGACTCTGACGCGGGGGATACCGATGCCTACACCAACAACGAAGGAACCATTCGTATGCCGGAACGAACTGCCGCCAAAATCCCAGTGCTTTCGGGCTCCGATACGGTTGAATCTCGAAAGAGCTACGGACTCCGCATGATTATACCCACTCGCATTGGTAGGGTAGATGACCTTTGGAACACCAACAAGGTTCTTTTCACACAGACAAGGCACCTGCGGCTGGAGTTTCCCTTCAGGCCCAACAATGTTCAGGGTGAAGAACGCGAGGTCTTGCTTAACGATGGCTCGAGTTGGGACATTGATGTCATCGCTCCAGTCTATGCCCCTGATTGTACTATGGATATGGCAAAGCCTTTCACGTGGAACGTTGAAGGCTGCTTTCACCCCAACTGGGTCACATGGAAGCGCCAGGTGACTGATGATTCTTTTCGCATCTCCGCTGGTCAGACCCGTTCGTCCACCGCAGTTGCTCAATTTTTCATCCCTGTGAATGGCGGTCTTCAAAAGTTGGTCCTCAACTATCGACGCTTGGCCCGAGCTCTATGTGCTGACATTTTTCGCACAGAGCCGGACGAACCTTCGACAAGAGCCTCGAGCTACCCACCCATCCTATGACCGTCCATGGTTTCGGTATCTGCGATCCGAACAAGTATGCCTGGAAAGATGTTGGTGTCCTACCATCTTGGCTGGATATATCGGAAAGGAACAATGCGATGGGGTTTTTGAGAATGAGCACGCGTTTCAACATGAATCCGCCCGCACAAGGAGATGGGTCAAAGGTCCCACCAAGTGGTGATTATCCCTTCCACGTCCTTCTCTACTGGCCTCGTGTGGAGACTTTCCTCCGTGAAACTAGGTGGGGCAGAGCGATCAAAAGAGGAGGCTTCCTCCAAACAGAGGGTCGCGTGGTTCATTTCATCGGGAAGATGATTGGTCTTCTCAAGACATCGCTGCTTCGGGATGTTCCCTCTGGCGTGTATATTTGTGAGCTTCGAAGAAGCTATCCACACAATATAGGCTCTTGACAGTCTAGAGATTACATTATAAGGGATTCCAAATTTGTCATGCGATTTGTTGCCAGGTGCTAAAGCTCGCACGATTCCTGATAAACTCAAGTCAAAAAACATCACGATGCTGACCGAGTACTCCTTTACCTCAAAAGCACCAAACACCTTGCTCTTTGCTTCCAAGGTACCGAAGAGTTGATTGTTGCAAGCAAATGCCTCGTTTGCAGACAACAGTATTGATCGGAAAAGCTCTCAGGCATTTGTAAATTGTAATGCAGCTGTTTGGGGGGCTAACTTGGATGGAGAGCAAATCTGCAAGACAAAAATTCAATATACAGATACAGAAGGACCTGCATAACCCAAACCTGGTGGTTTTCGCCCCCAATAAGTAACACACTTTACTGGTTCTACCTGTCCGCAGCTATCCCATAAAATGCAATCTGGAATCCCTAGACACAAGGCATAATCTCGTCTGTCATCAAAACATGACAACGGCTTATAATACCTCAATAGGCTGTGGATGTTCGAATAACTTATTTAATTTCTTAACTGGTGAGTGACGTTCATCATAAATCAACAAGCTACATCCTGCTCCGTGTGCTGGCGGGCCTTGGCAGGGCCACCCTAATTTTGGGATCTGGGACAGGTTGCGGGTTTTTATCGAGCCAGGGGCTTACGTATCAGGCCCTAACCCCTCTAGGTTGGGTATCTCCTCTGGCGCAGACTGAAAGCTGGAGACTAGGGCTGTGACATCACAACTCCGACAGAAGCCAGCGACTCTGCTTAGAACAGTCACGACAGACTAAACATGCTTCATTCCGTTCTAGACGTCCCGCAGAATTCATTGAATCCAGTTAGACTTCTTCATCTATTCTTTCGCGACTTCGTATTGGAATCCAAGCGGCGAACTACAAATCCATCTTCCGTACGTACGGGGAAAGCAGAATAACGAGGTTATCACGAAACGGTCTTTTCTTCGTGATGATGTCTAGAGGCTAAGTTCTGGTGGTGGCCTTCAGGGCACGGAAGTGCCCTTATGGCGACCCCTTTTCCGGCTGACTAAGCAGAAGGCAACGGCCAACCGTCACTATCCATCTTTTAGTCTCGAACTGTCACATGCCAGCCAGGATTCCCTTGCTCGCTGCACATCACTGAGCGCTCACTCTCCGTAGTGATCAGTAATATCATTCCTCGACCTCAACTACATATTGCCAGCAGACATGGCAAGGAACATCGTAGAGGACAACTGGCGCCTGATGTCTTCTGCCGAGCTGCCACCCTGTGACGGGCCCAAGATCCAAGCGTTTAAGCACCGCTTCTCACCGATATATTGGGCGGAATGTATCGGTGGAATCGGTGAAAACGGCGAAGACATTGGCTCACAGGCCTACGTGTTCAAGGTTGAGATCCAATTGAAGACCTACGCTTTGAAAGTGGTACGGATAGCTGAATCGGCTTTGTTGTCTTTCGAGTATAAAACACTTACACGTGTCCCAGTTCAAATTTTTCAACCCCTCAACGCAGAGCTTCGTCCTAGGTCCTATTCTTGGGAGACAACTCGACGCTGACGAATTGGCCTTCCACACGGATCCCTTTTTTGCAGAGTGCCGAGCGTACGGGCGCATTGAGGAAGCGCGCGCCAAGGAAAAGCGAGCGCGCCAAGTTGCAGCCCAGTGTTATGGTTTCCTGATCCTGGGTGCTTCAGAGGTGGAGCGGCTGAAAAAGAACGGCTTTGATCTATGGCCCGAAGACCTGCCACCAGGACATGAGTATCGGACCATGGCCGACGGGAGTCCCGTTCGCGCCCTTGTGAAGGAGTATATTGAGGATGACCAAGATCCTGATCTGCGTGCCATGAGCTGGATGCTGAAAGACATCCGTTTCCTCAACAGAAACGGGTGTCTGAACAGGGACATCAAGCGGGATAACTATCGCAACGGTCTTTTGGTTGATTTCGGATGCGCTTGGACCGAACCGCACTGCCTTATTCGGCTGGCGGGCAAAGAGCGTGTGGAGAATTGGAAGAAAGCGGACAGGGTGCAATTCGATACAATGGCAAGGGAGCTAGGGTTTGGTGATGCAATTCATGCGATACCCAACTGGGAATACCGGCAGAAGTTGCGAGAAAGCCGACATGATTCACTGGATGACGAAACTCAATCAGAAGAGTCTTCGAGCATCCCATCAACAGCTAGCAGAATTCTTGTGTATACCTGCTAGGTAGGTAAACCCACCGTCTCACTGTCTTTTATTGCTTGAGTCCAAATTAGCACTGACTAATACTTCGTTTGAATGCCTCAGAGTGAGATGTATGCACCACAAGTACTAACAAGTGGCATCTATTCCGCATGATCCACTAACTACTACTCAGACCTGGTAGTCCTATATTGCATTCTAGACCAGGCCTACATATAGGGCCATAGTGAGCAACCTGAAACGCTTAGAGCGGGCCACCTCAATGGCCTTAACTCTTGAGTTAACCTCTTGGGCAGCAGAATGCAAAAAGTGAGCAAAGTCGTTGATATAGTGTATTTGTACTAACGCCGCAAATACCTCTTTAGATCACCAAAATAGGCCTCAATTAGGTTAAAATCAGGAAAGTAAGGGGGCAAATACTTCTCCTATATGCCCCTCTACCTAATCGCCACTAATATCCTCTCATCGTGGTACCAGGAAGCATTATCCATCACGAGAATCAACCTCAGGCCCAGGTATGGGTTCATCTTCGGGAGCACTTCATCAAGCAACCACTAAAGGAAGAACTCCTTCGTGGTGTGGCCCTTGTACACCATAATAGTAAGCAAACCGTCGATCGTGATCAACAGGAGGATGTGGCAGCGGGCACCTCGCTTGAGAAGACTTTCAACCCGTAGAGTATACCCCTTCGGCACCCAGCGAGTCCTCCTCGCACCATCCCTCTTATCAAGCCCCAATTCATCGCAGAAGATAAACATCTCTGCTATGTGGATAGGCTTCGAGACTCACCAGATGTAATAATTGCGGAGATCTTCATCACGCTAACGGGCCAGTATGTGTACTCGTTTATTGCTCCAGCTACTACTCTTAAGGGCACGGGCGATCATTCTCCACCGCTACCCAAGCAGAATCTCTTGAAATTGAGAAAAGCAATGTATGTAGAAAGCGTCTTACAAAGGCTCTACCAAGCTGCAAATTGTGATCTTGAAAAAACACAACAAGGCATTGTTTATCTAGATGAAATAGATAAACTCAGTGGTCGGGGGGACAATGCCTCTATTACGCGTGATGTTTCTGGCGAGGGTGTACAACAAGCAATACTTAAATTATTAGAAGGCACCATCGCGATATTAACCCAACATCTCAAGTTCCCTCACCCTCACCGCATCCAGGTTGAGAACCTCGCTGGTTGCAAGCAACTCCTAGAGGAATACCAGACCAAGAACGCGGATAGACCCGGAACAAGGACAAGAACCAGAACCAACAAAAAAAAAAAAAAAAGACAAAAGAGACAACAATTCACCTTAATCAAGGAACCACCGGGAATCGAACCCGAGCCTCCAGCTTTTAACGGCATGGTGTTCTAAACCACTGAACTATAGATCCGTAAGGACTGAGGATCCTTGTTGCCTCTGGGAAACATAAGGAAACCCAACACTTATATAGACGCCTAGGATCTCCGACAGATCAGCACCCTCATTTACAATCAGGAACCAGACGAGCCGCCCACAGGCGCATTTTCATCAACCACAACACCAGGAATTTCAAAATCAGACCAATCAACACCACCGTCACTCACCACCGAACTCCAATCAACTGCATACCACCACTCGCATCAGGCGAGCCGCGACGAACAACCTCAGCAGATTGCTTGGCAATACGCTGACGCTCAACCTCAGCCTCCTCCCGCTCCAGACGGTCCAACTCGTCCAAGTTGTCCAAGCCACGGCGGACCGCACGCTTCATCTTGTCAGACCAAAAGCGCTTCTGTTTCCGTAAACGCAGCAGCTTCTCCTCCAACTCCTCGATCTCATCCTCAAGCTTCCGATGCTGGGAAGAGATGTTCCGAAGCTCAGCAGGGGTCGGCCCTAACACGTCATACCTGGCACGGTTCAGTCGGACATATTCGGCGCATCGACTAGGTTCCGATTTCCAAACTGGTGACCTTACATACTACATGTTGGGGCTAGGTGCTTGCGGTGAGGACGATACCGGCAGGGATATGACTGCTAACATTGTCGCGATGTCAGCCGAGGTAATGGGCTTGCAGTCTAACGACTCCTTATACGGGCTTTTCGATCCCTGTCCCAGAAAGACCAAATATATACCAGCGCATGGCGGAAAGCAGCTTCAGCCTTGTGGTAGGAAACGGATTACTACCCAAGATTATAACGAGGATTGAGAAAGCCGCTTCTAATATTTAGGTGCAGGACTAAGTCTAATTGTAAGAAAACTGAATTAGGGGCTATAAAGAGTAACACAGAGGACCACGAATTGGCTGGGCTAATTACAATGGTTGAAGTCGGTGAGTCCATCTCGTATTGCGATTATTTGATGAGTCTAGAGATCAGTTTGGCATGAGACGAAGTAAATATACGCCAGGAAGTGTTTCCTTTGGGGGTATATATAATGAGAGAGACATTTGAACCGGAGTTTGAAATTACGGAATACAATTCTTTAACTAATATTTCGTCTTAGGATGAGGTAAAATTGGTACTTACATTCATTCTAGAAACTCGAGATGGAGAAATTCGAAGGAAGAAAAAAAGAAAAAGGAAAGGAAAGCCTTAAACTTAAGTTAAGGGCAGGGAAACTAGGCTTTGCTGCATGGGCAACCAGAGGGGAGCTGTGTAGGCGGCGTTTACCGAAATTAGTTATCGACCATGGCGAGGATCTTAAGTGTCAGCGATGCCATTCAGTGATCGGTGGAAGGTGTCAGCCACATCGGAACTTACCAGGTCCATTTTATTCTTGATAGCCACGACACAGGCCGTAGCGTGCTCTGCAGCATTACCAACGATCGGGATAAGAATAAGGCCAATGAAGTTCTTGCCGAATGCCCCTGTCGCGACGATAGGATCGATGGCATCGACGAGGTAGTCCGCGCAGAAAGAAATGAATCCCAAAAGTACAACCAGTATAAGTCAGAAATATGTAAAAAGCCTCTAAGGTGCATAGGATAAAGGTGTGGTTGTAGTCTCCAAAAGGACAAAGGCATAAGCCATGCTAACTATACCCTTTCAGAAATTATCGTCCCGTCCCGTCAGCTTCGTCTCAATTTCTCACTTCTGACAAGATTAGGTTTCCTTAGCCTTGGTCTTCTTCCTGTGATCGACCTTGACCAGGAGAGCACGGTTGATGTGAGGCAGGACACCACCAAAGGCTATAGTGGCGCGGATCAGTGTATCAAGCTCCTCGTCACCACGGATGGCGAGCTGTAGGTGGCGAGGTGTGATACGCTTGACCTTGAGATCCTTGGCGGCATTCTGTGAGACAGAGATCGCGTCAGTATCGGCTGCATAGTCGGGTAGAGCACTGGAGCAGACGCTATGGTGCGACCCGGAAGTGATGGGGGCGACAGAGGGGTGACTCACGCCTGCGAGCTCGAGGACCTCAGCGGCCAGATACTCGAGTACAGCGGTAACGTACACAGCAGCCTTGGCGCCAACACGCATCTTGTTCTGGGTGTTTGTCTTGAGGAAACGCTTGACACGACCGCAGGGGAACTAGAGGGGATGGATGTCAACAGTCAAATTTTGAGGACGCAACAGTAAAAAGGGTTAGATCAGCACGGCAGGTCAGCCCGAAAACCAAGCTTGATGCCGTCCACGCGAGCCGACGCAAAGGCATGGTGACCAGATATGTGACGTCAAGTCCATCGGTGATGGGTGCTGAAAAGTCGGATCGAGCTAGAAAGAGCCGTGGCACCGATGCGACTATCCTATGCACGTCGCGACTGTGCCGGTAAGACTATAGACGATGCGGGATGGACGGAGTCGTGGCATGGCGTGTAAGACCGTTGAATGCAACGAGTCGGACAGCGTGCGGTGACGCAAAATGCGAGTCTTACCTGGAGACCAGCACGGGCAGAGTGGCTCCGCTGCTTTTTGGGGCGCTCGGTGGCCGACGTCTTCCCACCAGAGCTCTTGCGGCCCGAGGACTTGCCCTTTCCACCGGCCATTGTGTTGATCGTTTACAGCAGGGCGTAGTTGATGTTTGATTATTGGACCTTGGACGCGATATTGTTTCAGGAGGAAAAGCTCTGCAAAGACTTGTTCTAACAGGCTTGCCTAGGGCTAGCAGCAGTTTGGGGAAGTTTAAAGTGGGGTCACATCGCCGCCAACGGGGCTAATGACTGTCACTGGAGCTCTGAATTCCTTTATCTAGATTTACAGAGGCAGTCCTCTGAATTTTCCCCATTTTGATCCCTTTATCTTCGGCGGTGGCGTGGCCCAGTGAAACACCTGGTGAATGACTTATAAAATGCTGTGCGATACAGGCAGCATATAGCCCTCCTTGCTGATTAATGGGAGGCTGAAACTAGGCTGAAAGAGTTGGAAGATGGGGAGGGGGAGATATGTAGTTTATTATTTTAGGTGACGCAGCAAATATAAGATGTAAGTCAGCACGCGTGCCGGGCAATGCTCAGTTTCATGAACCAGCGGCAGGACAGCACCAGAGATACCCAGGGAAATAACAACGGAAGGATAACGCTTCGACTGGGCATGGTACCATTTGTTATTGCTGGATGTGGTGCTCGGCGTCGTTGTTGGACTTATGGCTACGGGCAGCAGTCGAGCACGTTCGGGCTGGCCGCAGCGGATATTCGGTTCCGAGACTTTGGCATCAGGCGCGTGCTGATGCCTTTTGACAAAGGATTGAATCGAAAGTGGTCTAAGCAGATCGCAGACAACCACGTTCTGACAGTGTATAGGGTGCCCCAAAAGTGCCAACTGCCAAATGGAGACTTCTCGCAACACCCCCTGCGCGTTGGCGATATCGTACATTGATGAAAGAACACCTGTAGTGTTGTGGGTAATCATCCTTATTACCCTCGGCCTCGGCCATGGAGCTGTCCTAAAGGCACAAAACTTTGATTGACGACGAATGTGACAAGCGTGAGGGTGGGGTGAAGATCTCCTCCAGCCACATCCCTAAACGCCGATAGATCCGCAGGGAGGCGTTGTGGCAACGCGTGTCTCTAGATGATGGTAGCATGTTGCTCACCATCCAGAAGCCCTCAAGTTTGGGTTTAGGTTTCGATACATAGGGCAGAGTCACGCCCCAAAAAAGCCGCGGTAATAAAAAGGAAGCCAACGGGTGAGATACCCTGCATCCCAATATTTGCCATTGGTGACTTGACCAACATATGTGTGCCGTTGTGGAAATCAGAACTCTGCACCATGTCAGTGCCTGGCCTCCAAACAAAGAGAATTGATATTCGCACTCCCAAAAACGGATACCGCACACCATGTTCTGACTAAGCATGCAGCTCTTTATGCACAAGTATATTTCGACTACGGCACTCACATACAAATCATCTAAGCCTCGTTCGACAATCCCTTCCATGCCATCGTTTCCCCCCAACTCTCAATTTAGATATTTTCTATCAACCATGATGTCGATCTGGAGGCGGTTAGCTTTATATTTGGGATGTGGACCCAGGAGATGCTGCATGAATACTGAATCGGCACCTCCATCACCATCACCTGCTGTCGCCAGTCTTTCTATAAGGCAAGTACGCATCGAATCCCACGCCACGAATAGCATTTACACGCGATATTGACTAGCATTTACTATGGCTTAGACGCACTGAAAATATATCTTCAGACATGAACAACGAACTTTTTACAACCCATCCGGCCAGCAACACTAGCACCAGCACGGTCAACACCGCAAAATCCGATATCATATGCTGTCTCGGAAACGAAGACAGCGCTGTTATATGCGGTGGCACGGAGGCAGTAGAAGCAAGCAGCAACTCGTCTGCGGCATCCATATTTGTCAAGGATTACGAAGGTGTGGATACTGGCTTCTACACGAGGCTAAGGCCACCTCCATTTTCAAAAACTCCCAACCTGCCGTTTGATGTGCCACTTCCCTGACAGGGCCGGTCGTCGCTGGGTCTGCGTGGGAAGCCGCGCGGCAAAGCTACCCTGCCTTGGTACAGTCCTTCCCGGGCGACCGACGCCTGACGAACCGCAGAGTCGCGCAACTGGCAAGCTGACCCTTAATACTTTCTTCGAGCAGTACTTCGGGCTTACAGTAAAAGTAGGAAGGCACTCTATAACCCTGATGCCTACCAATCCCTCATACAGAGCCTACAAATATGATTCTGCTTAACTTAAAACCATTTCGCCATGCAGGCAGCCTACACTTAACAAAATCTAGCATTCAACGTCTCTTTACCGCCGAAATCATGTGAAATATCAAATCCTACAGAATTCCACGAGAAGTCAGTCTAATGATAATAGAATACGCCCACCGTTTCCCTTCTCGCCAAGGATGGGGAGGCGTACTTATTGCCACTGGGGCAGTTGACGGAGCGCCTTGAAGAAGCCATCCTCGAGCTGCAGGCAGTTTGGCGTGGTCGCCTCCCGGTTCTT